GCTCCTCTCACTTAAGTGTCCCCATCTAATTTACATACATAAACACATAATATACATCAAGCATAAACTCCAAAAATTCTTTTATATATAATGGGAGATTCCACAGGCATTTGGAATGAGACCCTTTTGTAAGTCCATAGAAAGACTTGGCAGAATGGCTTCATTTACAAACTGTCACCCTTAAAAGAAGCAGGAAGGGTCTTTGGGGCCCAGTCTGCATGTGGCCAGGCACAGGGTTGAGGGCAAGAAGGAAAGAGAGAATGGCGATCCACTTCCAATTAAGGTGGACTGGCCCACACTTGCAAGACAAAAGGCAGAAAGGAACCAAAACCTAATCCTGGACAAAGGTGACGAATCAATAATTGGTGAATGTTTAAATAATGGCAGACTATAAGCAGTATACAGTTTATGTGTATAAAATGTATTTGAAAAGACACGAAAGGTCAACAATAGTTATTCCTGGGTGAGTTCATGGCTTTTTTTTCTTTTGTCCTTCTAGTCCTTATCTACATTTTTTTAGTGTCCTGTACTGCACGTGCACTGCCTTTTTAACGAAGAGAGGAAAAAAATAAAGGAAACATGTTTTTATCTTATCACTCAATGTTTTAGTTGTTTCCATTAACCTCTTACAGCCTTGTCATTAAGATCAAGCTTGTTCAAATAGTCTCCTATTGTTGGGCAGCTAGGTGGTTTTAACTTGTTGGTATCACAAGCAAAAAAGTGCTCTTGTAGTTGAAAATTAATTTGAAATGTAAAAGAAGAAAAATCCTTAGGAAATTAATCAAAAGTGTTTAATTACCCCATAATACACTAAAGTTACCACTACTCAAAAAACAAGTAACTTAGGACATTCATTGTTTTACCAAATCATTGTTTTAACCAATCTGTACAGTTGACTAGTTTGCTTTCAACTAAACTGTATTTGGCCAAAATTGGTTTCAGCCAAAATAACTTCAAGCCAAACTGGTGTTGGACAATCAATATACTACCAGCATCAGGGGAAAGTCTGAAGGCAGAGGTAAGGAATATGATCCCCAAAAAAGGTTTAATAATAAAGAACAAGCAAGATGCCCGAGACAAGTATGACAAAGAAGGATCACCTGGGGCAATGATTCAAAGTGGAAGAAAGTCTTTTATCAAGGAGCTGTAAAACTAGCCCAGTTAGCTTCAGAAGAGCTAGTAAGGGTATCAAGTAAATTCCTTTTCATCAGCCTGCTTGGACACTTTCCCCTAGTAGAACAACATTGGGGTTTTCCCTAGATGAAAAAGCTTAATGTCCTGGGGTTCAAATTAAGGATGCATGTTCCCCAAATCATTTACCCACAATCACTTTCCCAAGTAAATGAGGTTCTGGAGTAGCCACTGCATGATGGGGAATCCAAACCACTTCTTTGGCATATTATGGTTCCCGCTCCAAATTACAAAAGGTCATACCCATACTGTCAGACAAAGCAGAAGAGGCAAGTGATATGAATTTGCACAGAGAAAAGTAATATGAATCGGACTGCCTCGGGAGTGAAGGTAGTGGCGTAGCCGCTTAATACGGCTAGAGAGAGCTAGAAGACATCTCTAGTTTGAACAGTCTTCTAAGGAACCTGGTTATAGTCAGGATTTCTTTTTAGCCAGTTATTGCTCAATAAAAAATCCTGGAGAGCTTTCTAGGCAGCCTCTGTTCATTCAAATATTACTTGTCTGCCAGGCTGCTTCTGAGGAAAGCAGGGGGGCAGCACAGTGGAAGACATCTCTGCCATTAAAGAAGGCGTACTATAGAAAGGAAAACAGAGAACTGTATTCATCATATTCAGGCACGGCAAAGTATGTAAGTGGGGGAGGAGGGCTATAGATTGAACAGTTTTGTTGTTTTTGGTAAGCAGCAAAACAATGGAAAGATGGACTATTCGCTAATGCTGTTGGGGCAACTGAGTAGCCATTTGGAAAAAAATTATGTTGGACCTATTCCTCAACCACACACCAAGAAAAATGGGCCAAAAACTTCACTGTAAAGCCCTGGCAGGGAGGCTCAGTTGGTTGGAGCATCTTCTCGTACACCAAAAGATTGCAGGTTCGATGCCCGGTCAGGGCGCGCACGGGAGGCATCCAATCAACCGATCAATCAATGGCTCTTAAACATATTAAAAGATATTCAAACTCATTCATAAGAGAAATAGATATTAAAACTACACTACAATAATATTTTCACCTATCAGATTAGAAAAAAAATCCAAAAGTTCAATAACACATTTTATGGGTAAGAATATGGGTAATCAGGCATTCTGGTACATTTCTGGATGGGAGTGTAAACTGTTCAATCTCTACGGAGGGCACTTTGGTTGTACCTATATAACTACTATGAGATACACTCTTTGGTCAGCAATTCTACTTTTAGTAATTTACCCTCCAAATATATTTCACAAGTGTGAAATAATCTATGTAACAAAAGTATTTATTGCAACATTACTTGTAATAGCAAGAGACTGAAAATTTCCCAAAAGTCCATCAATATGGGGCTGGTTAAATAAATGATGTTTTAGCCACAAAATGACATGGAGGAGATCTCCAATTATACTGTTACAGTGAAATATATCTTGGATATTTTTCCACTATTACAGAAAGAACTCCACATTGTTAAGTGAAAAAGGCACAATAAAATATATAAGCTTCTATTTGTATTAAAAAAGGAAAGGAAAACAATTTATATTTGTATTAGCTTCAATATGCATTTTAAAACTCTATAAGGATGGGAATTGAGTAGATAGGGAACAGGGGTGGAAGGGAAACTTTTCATTGCTAAACATTTTGTTGTTTGAGTCATGTGAATGTATTACCTTTTCAAAAATTAAATTTTAGAATGTTTAATACATTAAATGTTTAGAAGGTATCATTCAAGCTCCCAGATAATATTCTACATTTGGGCCCCTTAGTCTTTGGATAATTGATCGTAGACACGTGACTGCACCTGGAGGCCTTGAATAGTGGCATTCAAAAATGGAAAAGAAAGTCAGGGTTGCAGTTGGAAATCTCACTACTGCACATAAAGAACTCACTGATGAACAGGTTGCATATGCCCAGGGAAGAAACAGTGAAGAAAAGAGGGAAGAACACAATCTTGTGAAAGTGTCATAGCAAAAGTGGCACATCAAAATAAAGAAATAAGCCAGAGATTAATTCTTGGGGAACTCGGGTCAAAGGTGGTACAATTCCTTAGGATACCTGAATTAGTTCTTAGTTCAAATATAAATGTCACAGAGTGGTGTAACTCAGGGGTGCTACCCTCAACATGGGCAACTAGAAGATTACTGCAAACAATGGGACAGGGAGGTATAGTTAACAGCAACACAAAAATGTGCAGCAGGCCTTCTCTGCTCCTTTCTTATGCCTAACCCCAGGTAAAACCCTCTCAGAAAAGTTAATAAGACCATGAGGCTAGTTAGGATAAAGAAAATAGAATATTTTGAAAAACGCTTCTTGAAAACTGCTTTCATTCATTTATCAAGTGTTTATAGAGGACCTATTTTGTGAAAAAAACTGTCCTAAGTGCGCAATAAATTTATCCCCCAAAAATAAATATGGCCAAGATAATTTAAATTTAAAAAGACATTTTAAAAGATTTTGGGGTAATATTAGCTTCTCTCAAAAAATTTTGAAATATGAAAAAGTCTAAAAAGTCAATTGACAACTATAAAGTGCTACAAAACTATGGTAAACTTTTATCCAGTTTATTCTATTACTCTTTTAAAAAGTGAAAATAGTAATTTAACATATGAATTTAAAATAAGACAATCATTTTCAGAAATTAAAAATAATAAGATAGTTTATTTCACTTTTACTAAATTAAAATAATATAAATCTTTAAAATACGGCTTTCTATTCTCATCACTACAATTGATAAAACAGGAAAATATAACTGGAAAATGGAACTAATTCAGAACAGATGTTAGGGAGGAATTTTTCCAGTAGTGAACTATAAACATGCGGAATAAATACTGGAAAATGTATTATGGTTTTAAAAAGTCACTTACTAATTACATGATCTAAGCAGGAAACCAAATATCTAAATATGTAGAACAGGCATTTAAAAAAATAGGCCTAAATTAATGGACAAAATGTTTTTACTATCCAAACTTACACAATACATGAACCTGAAATGTGTTAAAACTCAGGTACTTCCCAGTGCCTATACAGTAAGCTCTTATTTATCCATAAAGATGTACCCAATGGCAAACCTAACAAGTCTGCAAACAAAATTTATTCTTTCTGCTTGCTTTGCTAACATTTTTTCAACTTAATAGCTACTTGGTACTTTTCTTTTGACCTGCCTTCTGAATATTTCCCTATCTCCCTTTATTCACCCTCTAAAACGAGATATAAAGACTTGCAACCCCACCATCACCAGCTCTTCTCTAAGAAAAAAGCAGAAAGGACAGTTCTGCCTTGGCTGCAACATTTAAGAAATGGCTTATTCCTAGCACACAGTGAAGATCAGAAAAGAACTGAAAAGGAACAAACAACAGAATCCATTCCAATGAAAGTTTATTAATTTGTATGAAGTAAATTTGTGACTCATACATATTCAAATGATTGTACAAAAACAAATTTCAAAGCTAAAAATATTAAATGACTTTCAGACTATGCAGGTTTCTGCTTGTTTCCACTTTACGGACAAGCAGAGGCTGTCATACTGGCAGTTCGTTAACTCTCTCAGGCCACCAAGATCCCATTCAATGGCTACAGTTAATTATCATGCAGGTCAAAGCAGTTTAATATAATATTACTACTATAAGCACACGTTAAATACAAAAAAAGTTAAAGAGCCTCCTGACTACAGCAATTGGGCAGTGACAGAACAGGCCAGAGTTGACCCATGAGTCACAATATTTAACAAACCTAGAAAAGCATTTAACTTCACAAGCTGAAAGATCCTTAAAGATCATATAGTGAACCCAACACTATCATTTTACAGATGATGACATCAAGGACCCCCAAAAGGTTAATTAACTTACCCAAGGCAGGGCAGGTTCATAGCAGCAAAGCCAGATTCAGGCCTCTGAGAAGCAATCTAGTGGTCTCAGTAAATTACAGCATCCCACTCTTGGAGAATATGCTGAAGGAACTGAACTTGTGCATGTAAGGCAGTCGTGTTTTTTTTTGGGGGGGGGGG